ATAGCATTGAGGAGTACACCACATCAGTCACTGGCTTCATCAATAAGTGCATTGATGATGTCGTCCCCACAGTGACCGTACGTACATACCCCAACCAGAAGCCATGGATTACAGGAAACATCCGCACTGAGCTAAAGGGTAGAGCTGCCACTTTCAAGGAGCGGGACTCTAACCCGGACGCTTATAAGAAATCCCGCTATGCCCTCCGACGAACCATCAAACAGGCAAAGAGTCAATACAGGACTAAGATTGAATTGTACTACACCGGCTCTGACGCTCGTCCGATGTGGCAGGGCTTGAAAACTATTACAGACTACAAAGGGAAGCACAGCCGCGAGCTTCCCAGTGACACAAGACTTCCAGACGAGCTAAACCACTTCAATGCTCGCTTTGAGGCAAGCAACACTGAAGCATGCATGAGAGCACCAGCTGTTCCGGATGACTATGTGATCACGCTCTCCGTAGCCGATGTGAGTAAGACTTTTAAGCAGGTCAACATTCACAAGGCCGCGGGGCCAGACGGATTACCAGGACGTGTACTCCGAGCATGTGCTGACCAACTGGCAAGTGTCTTCACTGACATTTTCAACATATCCCTGACTGAGTCTGTAATACCAACATGTTTCAAGCAGACCACCATAGTCCCCGTGCCCAAGGACACTAAGATAACCTGCCTAAATGACTACCGACCCGTAGCACTGATATCTGTAGCCATGAAGTGCTTTGAAAGGCTGGTCATGGCTCACATCAACACCATTATCCCAGAAACCCTAGACCCACTCCAATTTGCATACCACCCCAACAGATCCACAGATGATGCAATCTCTATTGCACTCCACACTGCCCTTTCCCACCTGGACAAGAGGAACACCTATGTGAGAATGCTATTAATTGACTACAGCTCAGCATTCAACACCATAGTGCCCTCAAAGCTCATCACTAAGCTAAGGATCCTGGGACTAAACACCTCCCTCTGCAACTGGATCCTGGAATTCCTGACGGGCCGCCCCCAAGTGGTAAGTGTAGGTAACAACACATCTGCCACACTGATCCTCAACACAGGGGCCTCTCAGGGGTGCGTGCTCAGTCCTCTCCTGTACTCCCTGTTCACCCATGACTGCATGGCCAGGCACGACTCCAACACCATCATTAAGTTTGCCGACGACACAACAGTGGTAGGCCTGATCACCGACAACGATGAGACAGCCTATAGGGAGGAGGTCAGAGACCTGGCCGTGTGGTGCCAGGATAACAACCTATCCCTCAACGTGACCAAGACAAAGGAGATGATTGTGGACTACAGGAAAAAAAAGAGGGACTGAGCACGCCCCCATTCTCATCGATGGGGCTGTAGTGGAACAGGTTGAGAGCTTCAAGTTCCTTGGTGTCCACATCACCAACGAACTATCATGGTCCAAACACACCAAGACAGTCGTGAAGAGGGCACGACAAAGCCTATTCCCCCTCAGGAGACTTGGCATGGGTCCTCAGATCCTCAAATAATTATACAGCAGCACCATCGAGAGCATCCTGACTGGTTGCATCACCGCCTGGTATGGCAACTCCTTGGCCTCCGACCGCAAGGCACTACAGAGGGTAGTGCGTACGGCCCAGTACATCACTGGGGCCAAGCTTCCTGCCATCCAGGACCTCTATACCAGGCAGTGTCAGAGGAAGGCCCTCAAAATTGTCAAAGACTCCAGCCACCCTAGTCATAGACGGTTCTCTTTGCTACCACACGGCAAGCGGTACCGGAGTGCCAAGTCTAGGTCCAAAAGACTTCTCAACAGCTTCTACCCCCAAGCCATAAGACTCCTGAACAGCTAATCATGGCTACCCGGACTAATTGCACTGCCCCCCACCCCCACCCCCCACCCCATATTTTTATGCTGCTGCTACTCTGTTAATTATTTATGCATAGTCACTTTAACTCTACCCACATGTACATATTACTTCAACTACCTCAACTAGCCGGTGCCCCCGCACATTGACTCTGCACCGGTACCCCCCTGTATATATAGCCTCCCTACTGTTATTTTATTTTACTTCTGCTCTTTTTTTTCTCAACACTTTTTTGTTGTTGTTTTATTCTACCTTTTTAATTAAAAATAAATGCACTGTTGGTTAAGGGCTGTAAGTAAGCATTTCACTGTAATGTCTGCAATTGTTGTATTCGGCGCATGTGGCCAATAAAATTTGATTTGATTTGAAATTGTGATGGTTTGAGATTAATCGGACCGCAGAGTGAAGGAAAAGCAGCCAACATGTGCTCAGCATATGTGGGAACTCCTTCAAGACTGTTGGAAAAGCATTCTAGCTGAATCTGGTTGAGAGAATGCCAAGAGTGTGCAAAGCTGTCATCAAGGCAAAGGGTGGCTATTTGAAGAATCTCAAATATATTTTGATTTGTTTAACACTTTTTTGGTTACTACATGATTCCATATGTGTTGTTTCATAGTTGTGATGTCTTCACTATTATTCTACAATGTAGAAAATAGTAAAAATAAAGAAAAATCCTTGAATGAGTAGGTGTTCTAAAACTTTTGACCGGTAGCGTACATCGTTTTCATTACTGAGGTTTGAGCCCTGGATGATGTAAGCCTGTGTTAATTCTGTGTGGACAATGCAGGCTTTGTTCCATGCCCTTTGGTACTACACTAAAGCATGGTATGTTCTAATATGTGATCTCTACCATTGTAGCACTTTGAGAATTTGCCTCTTTGTTTGTTAGTATAGCGCGATGGAGAGGGAGTGGGCGGAGAAGAGGAGAAGAGGTTATGTTTAATTCCATTTGGACAGATTTTTTGATTTCTTCTCTCAAACTTTTATTTGTACTCGTTTCTTAAAGTTCCCAAGTTCCCTCGTTACTCGTGGAGATTTTAGTGACCTCTTATGTTGAGTTGCACTAAAAAAGCACAAAGGGTTGTTTCAAAGCAACCACTAGACCTGCAGCAAAGACTGTTAAGTATTGAAGCTACTTACTGTCAGTCTAAAATGAGATCAAGAGATAGATTTCCATCTCACATCATAGTAGAGTCGATATATATGGAGAGGAAGAATGTGGTTAGGCGTAATCAGCATTTTAGCATCCTTCAACAATAAGCTGAGACCACAATTATACTAAAGACAGGAAGAAGAGACACACAGCATTTGTCTTACTCTGCTTGATGACCTATTTCAGGTGCATTAGCTTCATGCTAAAATGATCTAAGCATGTTAACAACATACATATTTGATTTGTCAGATACAGTGCCTTCAGAAAGTATTCAGACCCCTTGACTTTTTCCACTTTTTGTTAAGTTACAGCCTTATTCTAAAATTGATTAAATATTAATTTTTTTCAGCAATCTACACACAATACCCCATAATGACAAAGCGAAAACAGCTTTTAAGATTTTTTTTGTATTAAAAATAAAAAACAGAAATACATTATTTACATAAGTATTCAGACCCTTTGCTATGAGATTCGAAGTTGAGCTCAGGTGCAACCTGTTTCCATTGATCATCCTTGAGATGTTCCTACAACTTGATTGGACATTATTTGGAAAGGCGCACACCTGTCTATATAAGGTTCCCACAGTTGACAGTACATGTCAGAGCAAAAACCAAGCCATGAGGTCGAAGGAATTGTCCGTAGAGCTCAGAGAAAGGATTGTGTCGAGGAACAGATCTGGGGAAGGGTACCAAAACATTTCTGCAGCATTGAAGGTCCCCAAGAACACAGTGGCCTCCATCATTCTTAAATTGAAGAAGTTTGGAACCACCAAGACTCTTCCTGAGCAATCGGGGAAGAAGGGCCTTGGTCAGGGAGGTGACCAAGAACCCAATGGTCACTCTGACAGAGCTCTAGAGTTCCTCTGTGGAGATGGGAGAACCTTCCAGAAGGACAACCATCTCTGCAACACTCCACCAATCAGGCCTTTATGGTAGAGTGGCCAGACGGAAGCCACTCCTCAGTAAAAGACAGCCTGCTTGGAGTTTGGCAAAAGACACCTAAAGACTCTCAGACCATGAGAAACACGATTCTTTGGTCTGATGAAACCAAGATTGAACTCTCTGGCCTGAATGCCAAGCGTCATGTCTGGAGTAAACCTGACACCATCCCTACGGTGAAGCATGGTGGTGGCAGCATCATGCCTGGAGTAAACCTGGCACCATCCCTACGGTGAAGCATGGTGGTGGCAGCATCATGCTGTGGGATGTTTTTCAGCGGCAGGGACTGCGAGACTAATCAGGATCGAGGCAAAGATGAAGCAGAGATTCCTTGATGAAAACCTGCTGCAGAACGCTCAGAACCTCAGACTGGGGTGAAGGTTCACCTTCCAACAGGACAACAACTCTAAACACACAGCCAAGACAACGCACGAGTGGCTTCGGGACAAGTCTCTGAATGTCCTTGAGTGGCCCAGCCAGAGTCTGGACTTGAACCCGATCAACCATCTCTGGAGAGACCTGAAAATAGCTGTGCAGCAACGCTCCTCATCCAACCTGACAGAGCTTAAGAGGATCTGCAAAGAAGAATGGGAGAAAATCCCCAAATACAGGTGCTGTAATCGCAACAACGTAACAAAATGTGGAAAAAGTCAAGGGGTCTGAATACTTTCCGAAGGCACTGTATGTTTAACTGGGACATTTCCATCTAATATTTTGTTGTTGTTGTTGAATATTTCATATTTTTAACTTTTAGTTTTCTGTAAATGTAGTATGTAAAATGAGGGCTCTATTGCATTAATCGTTCATGTTCATGTGCATTCCTTATGTATTTTTTCTATCCTTTTCTCTCTTTTAGGTGGATATCTCTATTATGTGTCTTGGTGTCTCCAACTCCCCTCTCTGAGGAAAAGGTGTCAAGGGTCGCTATACCATCAACCACAAGCAGAACCTTCTGAAGGACTCTGGGACATCCAATCCCTGACCTCCACACTGTAACAGTGCACACATCCCTGAGTATAGAAACCCACCACGCCATTGGACTAGGACAGTCACACTGAAGGGGCCAGATGGCACTGCTAGCCAATCAGCTGATGGATTCAGCCAAGGTTCTAAATGGCATCAATGGGAGGGTGGACCACCTCCCACAGTTCCTGAGGGTCCAGAACCAGGGTCACATGACCCAGGTCAACGCCACCCAGGAAGACACGCACAAGAACAGGAAGTATCCGTGCCCACTGTGTGGCAAGCGCTTCCGCTTCAACAGCATCCTGTCGCTGCACATGCGCACGCACACGGGCGAGAAGCCCTTTAAGTGCCCTTACTGTGACCACAGGGCAGCGCAGAAGGGCAACCTCAAGATCCACCTGCGCACTCACAAGCAGGGCAACCTTGGGAAAGGCCGTGGATGGATCAGAGAGGAGAACAGGCTGCTCCACGAGCTGGAGGAGAGGGCCATCCTGAGGGACAGGCACATCAGGGGAGGTATAGGTGGTCTGACCCAGCCACCACCACCCCACATCCCCCATCCCCAGCTCCAGCAGCCCCAGCCTGCCTCTACCACCACCCAGCTCCCCTTGACTTGCACAGGCCCTGGCCCTGTGGAGACCCTTTCACTGCCGTCCGCCTCCCCCAAGATGACCACCACAGGCCAGGAGGATCACACCCAGGCTCAACCTTCCACAGGCTTCCGCTGCTCCTTCTGCAAAGGAAAGTTCAGGAAGCCGGAGGAGCTGGAGCGCCACATCCGGATCCTCCACAAGCCATACAAGTGCACCCTGTGTGAGTTCGCGGCCTCCCAGGAGGATGAGCTCATCAGCCACGTGGAGACGGCCCACATCACCTCAGAGTCGGCCCAGAGTCAGAGTCCCGCGGTGGGCAGCGATCGGGGCGTGAAGCCACCTGGTGGGAAGTTCCCCTGCAAGGTGTGTGGTCAGACCTTCAGCCAGGCCTGGTTCCTCAAGGGACACATGCGGAAGCACAAGGACTCGTTCGAGCACTGCTGCCAGATCTGCAGCCGGCGCTTTAAAGAACCCTGGTTCCTCAAGAACCACATGAAGGTCCACCTCAACAAGCCGTCTGCTAACACCAAGCAGCTCCCTGCTGACCCTCAGGTATCTGTTAGCATGGCTAGAGTAGCCCAGGATACCCACTACACAAACCTCTACTCCCAGTACATCTCAAGCCTCCACAGCAGGTTCCTCTCCGCAGAGAGAGAGGGCCAGTCGGAGTTCCAGCAGATCCTTGCCACAGCAGGTATCGGGATGAAGGTGAAGGAGATGTTGGGTAGGATGCTGGCACCAGGACACGATTCAATGACGGAGGGGGATAATAATCCCTCTTTGTTGGGCTTGAATCATCTGGTGCCGCCCCTGAGCTCCAGCAGCATGGAGTATCAACTACAAGCTCCTGCCAATGAGAGAAACAACCTAAAAAGCTACCCAGGCTGGCAGATCATGGCATCAGGACTGGCTGTAGATCAGGTGGACCTATACACAGCTAAAGAACAGCAGCAGGCCTACCAGGCTGGGCGGAGGGTGTCACATGAGCGACGGGCATCTGTGCGCGACCCAGAGACCCAGGCTATTAATAGGACTAGTAGCCCAGGACTGAGCCATGTCTTGGAGGAGAGCTCCATAGGACCAGGCCTCTCTCAGACCGGCAGTACCCATGATAATAGCAGCCTACTCTCCTCAGTCTCAGGTACATACAGTAGCTTGCGAAAGTATTCACCCCCCTTGGCATTTTTCCTATTTTGTTGTCTTACAACCTGGAATTCAAATTGATTTGTTTGGGGTTTGTATCATTTGATTTACACAACATACCTACCACTTTGCAAATATAAATAAAATACAAAATATTTTTTATTGTGAAACAAACAAGAAATAAGACAAAAAAACAGAAAATGTGAGCGTGCATAACTATTCACCCCCCCAAAGTCAATACTTTGTAGAGCCAACTTTTGCAGCAATTACAGCTGCAAGTCTCTTGGGGTATGTCTCTATAAGCTTGGCACATCTAGCCACTGGAATTTTTGCCCATTCTTCAAGGCAAAACTGCTCCAGCTCCATCAAGTTGGATGGGTTCCGCTGGTGTACAGCAATCTTTAAGTCATACCACAGATTCTCAATTGGATTGAGGTCTGGGCTTTGACTAAGCCATTCCAAGACATTTAAATGTTTCCCCTTAAACCACTCGAGTGTTGCTTTAGCAGTATGCTTAGGGTCATTGTCCTGCTGGAAGGTGAACCTCCGTCCCAGTCTCAAATCTCTGGAAGACTGAAACAGGTTTCCCTCAATAATTTCCCTGTATTTAGCGCCATCCATCATTCCTTAAATTCTGACCAGTTTCCCAGTCCCTGCCAATGAAAAACATCCCCACAGCATGATGCTGCCACCACCATGCTTTACTGTGGGGATGGTGTTCACGGGGTGATGAGAGGTGTTGAGTTTGCGCCAGACATAGCGTTTTCCTTGATGGCCAAAAAGCTCAATTTTTGTCTCATCTGACCAGAGTACCTTCTTCCATATGTTTGGGGAGTCTCCCACATGCATTTTGGCGAACACCAAACGTGTTTGCTTATTTTTTTCTTTAAGCAATGGCTTTTTTCTGCTCCTTCAGGATTATCTTTGGTGTCTTTGTTGCCTCTCTGATTAATGCCCTCCTTGCCTGGTCCGTGAGTTTTGGTGGGCGGCCCTCTCTTGGCAGGTTTGTTGTGGTGCCATATTCTTTCCATTTTTTTATAATGGATTTAATGGTGCTCCGTGGGATGTTCAAAGCTTCTGATATTTTTCTATAACCCAACCCTGATCTGTACTTCTTCACAACTTTGTCCCTGACCTGTTTGGAGAGCTCCTTGGTCTTCATGGTGCTGCTGGCTTGGTGGTGCCCCTTGCTTAGTGGTGTTGCAGACTCTGGGGCCTTTCAGAACAGGTATACTGAGATCATGTGACACTTAGATTGCACACAGGTGGACTTTATTTAACTAAATATGTGACTTCTGAAGGTAATTGGTTGCACCAGATCTTATTTAGGGGCTTCATAGCAAAGGGGGAGAATACATATGCACGCACCACTTTTCCATTATTTATTTTGTATAATTTTTTGAAAAAAGTTATTTTTTTCATTTCACTTCAGCAATTTGGTCTATTTTGTGTATGTCCATTACATGAAATCCAAATAAAAATCAATTTAAATTACAGGTTGTAATGCAACAATATAGGTAAAACGCCAAGGGGGATGAATACTTTTGCAAGGCACTGCAACTGTCTTTCCTTACAACTCAATGGTTGCAGATTGTTTTAGACATTGTTGTTTCCAGTTTTCTCAATTATTTGTCATAGGTTCATCTGCTATATGTATTCTATATTCTATGGTCAATATTTTACAGTAATTGATGTATCCTCAGATCCAGGGTCAAGTTCAAATGGATGACCAGCACATGATGACTTGGGCACATTTATATAGATAGGATGTTTAAGAACTTCCATAAATATGCCATAAGTTTCAGATGTATACCATTTGCTATCCCTCCCATGCATAGACTAGAATGGAATGCAACTGCGCTGTTCCATCAGGAGATAAAACAATGCCTTTGGCTAAACTTAACTAATGTACTCAGGTGGACTTGTCTTGAAGCACAGGGTCAGTACATCAGCATATCCAAGCAACAAATATAATCGGTAATGACAAGGCCTTTCTTTTCTTATTAACTTTAATGCTGTCATGTTGAATGCTACAGATAATTAGCCTCCACTATTTTATATCAGTCCCATCCCCACCCCAACCCTTGCCTTGCCTATGGGGCACAATATGTTAATGCATTCCATCTGGTGTTTTTAATTATTTGATATATACCACCTGGTATTTTTATTGATAGTCTCCTGTTCCACCTGGTGATTTTGATGATTTGACTCCATGGGCGCATGCTTTTCTTGTCATGGCATCCTGTTAAGTTACACATTGTCTGGATTCTAAATAGCTGCCCCACATGAAAAAATACTAAATTTTACTATAGAATACTACAGTACTTACTATAAAATTATATAGTAAACTGTAGTATACTGTAGAATGCTATTCTCCACACAGTAGTTTCCCTCGATCATGTGTAGTACTTACTATATAATGTTGTAGTATACTGTATACTGCAGTATTATCAGCAATAAAACACTGTAGTAAATACTACAGTAATGTCCGCAAAAACACTACACTTTTTAAACTATAGTAAATACTACAGTATACAATTTGCATATACTCTGCCCATTCCCCTCCCCCATATTTCAGTTTGTGCCACCCATAAGTGAGAAACCTACATGCCAAGTATAGACCATATATTGTGTTCCCTACAAGTCATAGAAAAGAGCAAAAGCTCTGAACTATCCGTTCAGACTCCAGTCCTACCTACAGTGCATTCGGAAAGTATTCAGACCCCTTTACTTTTTCCACATTTTGTTATGTTGCAATCTTATTCTAAAATGGATTAAATAATGTTTCCCCCTCATCAATCTACACACAATACCACATAATGACAAAACAAAAACAGCTTTATAGAAATTTTAAATACATTAGTTTCTACAACTTGATTGGAGTCCACCTGTGGTAAATTCAGTTGATTGGACATGATTTGGAAAGGCACACACCTGTATATATAAGGTCCCACAGCAAAAACCAAGCCATGAGGTTGAAGGAATTGTCTGTAGAGTGCCGAGACAGGATTGTGTCGAGGCACAGATCAGCGGCAGGGACTGGGAGACTAGTCAGGATCAAGGGAAAGATGACCGGAGCAAAGTACAGAGAGATCCTTGATGAAAACCTGCTCCAGAGCGCTCAGGACCTCAGACTGGGGCCAAGGTTCAACTTCCAACAGGACAACAACCCTAAGCACACAGCCAAGACAACACAGGAGTGGCTTCGGGACAAGTCTCTGAATATCCTTGAGTGGCCCAGCCAGAGCCCGGACTTGAACCCGATCAAACATCTCTGGAGAGACCTGAAAATAGCTGTGCAGCGACGCTCCCCATCTAACTTGACAGAGCTTAAGAGGATCTGCAGAGAAGAATGGGAGAAACTCCCCAAATACAGATGTGCCAAGCTTGTAGCGTCAGACCCAAGAAGACTAGAGGCTGTAATCGCTGCCAAAGGTGCTTCAACAAAGTACTGAATAAAGGGTCTGAATACTTATGTAAATGTAATATTTCAGTTGTTTTAATTTGTTTTTTGTGCAAACATTTCTAGACCTGTTTTTGCTTTGTCATTATGTGGTATTGTGTGTAGATTGATGAGGGGAAAAAAACAATTTAATCAATTTTAGAATAAGGCTGTAACGTAACAAAATGTGGAAAAAGACAAGGGGTCTGAATACTTTCCGAATGCACTACCTACCTATAGATTATGTAAAAAAATATATTTGAGTATTTCTCCAGTAGGTTTCCTGAAGGAGAAAGCCTCCATTTCTATGTCAAAGATAATAAAACAAACCCTATAGTAAATACTACAGTCTGCAAAAATACTACAGTATAGTATATTTCGCAAAAGCACTACAGTAAATACTACAGTATACTTCAATCTGCAAAAACACTACATTAATTACTATAGTATATACTACAGTTTTCTTTTACTATAGTATTTATGCTATAGTTAACTATAAATAATACAGTATACTACAGTAAATACTACAGTATTCACTGTAGTGTTTTTGCGGACCTTTAGCTTAAAGCATAAAGCTTTACTCCTATCCTCCCTAGCTTAGAATTTTGGATCTTCCACAGACCTGGGTTAAAATACTATTTGAAATTCTTTAAAATACTTTAGCTGTTCTCAGTTGAGATCTCTTGTTGCAATGGAACCAATAGAAAAGTGCAAACTCCCAACAGGCACAGGAGCACTCTAGGCAGACTAAAGCAAACACTCAAAGTATTGGAAAGATTTCAAATAGTATTTGAACCCAGGTTTGATGTTCTAGCAGGCTTGGTGAGAGTCAGCGTCTCTGACATGGTTTTGGAGGATTTGATCCACCGTGAAGAATAGATAAATGGATCTGGTCTAATCTTGTTAAATGTTTTGTTGACATATTGTCTACTCATACTTGTATTTACATGTTTATACCAGCATTTTAAGGTTAATCCTGCGCAGCCCTTTACAAAACAGCTACAATCATTGGTACTTTTCAGCTTCTCCTGCATCCCCAGTCCCCAGCCCATTTAACCAGCCGATACTGCAGGACTAGGTTTGTAAAAGCTAGCTGAGAATGAATCGGATGAATTCTGGGCTGCCACGTTCGGTATCAGAGTGTAATTTGAGTCGATATTAAGCATGGAAACTAATTCATTTTAAAGGTCAGGCGTCAGTGCTTCTTTAAATGATGGATCCCAGCTCGCCTCTCCTCCTCTTGTTCCTGTGTAATGGAGGACTCGCTCAGGGGATTAAGCACTGCATTGTTTTGCTCTGACAGTATAGCCCAGAGACCTCTGCAGCTGCTCTCCACAACAGATTCATTAACACAATCGCACTCTGCTGGCCCTGGCTCAACACACAGGTCTGCTGCGGGACAGATAGGTAAATCCTACACATATGGAGAATGTACAGGCACTAAGTGCAAGTCTTGATGAGGGGCTTTAGGAATGGGATAAGTTTACTGCGCCTGTATTACAGGGGCAGGAGTAGTTCTAACTCAGGAGATGGTGAGGAATTACCATTGTTGCCAGATGTTTCAGTTTGAGACACATTGATTAGGCCTGAACAAGTGGCTGATTTTATTCCTATCCAAACAGCTGTAGTCATTAAGTTATTATATTTATGTTTCCAGTATTGATAGTGACTACAGTTGTCAGAGTTAGTGACTGCTCTGCTACATTTTAGTCATTTGGTAGACACTCTTATCCAGAGCGACTTACATACAGTTGAAGTCGGAAGTTTACATACACCTTAGCCAAATACATTTAAACTCTGTTTTTCACAATTCCTGACATTTAATCCTAGTAAAAATTCCCTGTCTTAGGTCAGTTAGGATCACCACTTTATTTTAAGAATGTGAAATGTCATAATAATAGTAGAGAGAATGATTTATTTAAGCTTTTATTTCTTTCATTACATTCCCAGTGGGTCAGAAGTGTACATACACTCAATTAGTATTTGGTAGCATTGCCTTTAAATTGTTTAACTTGGGTCAAACGTTTCGGGTAGCCTTCCACAAGCTTCCTACAATAAGTTGGGTGAATATTGGCCCATTCCTCCTGACAGAGCTGGTGTAACTGAGTCAGGTTTGTAGGCCTCCTTGCTCGCACATGCTTCTTCAGTTCTGCCCACAAATGTTCTATAGGATTGAGGTCAGGGCTTTGTGATGGCCACTCCAATACCTTGACTTTTGTCACGGATACGGCCGAGGCTGCCCCTCCTCCTCGTTCGGGCAGGCTTCGGCGGTCGTCGTCACCGGAGTACTAGCTGCCACCGATCGATGTTTCTGTGTCTCACTAGTTCTGTCTGTATTGTTCACACCTGTTACCCATTAGGCTTATTAGTTTCCCTATATTACCTCTGTTTTCCCTCCTGAGTGTGTGCGTGATTGTTCTTGTTACGTCGTCTGTTGAGCTGTTGTTTTTGCTCTTCCCTGCGTGGAGGGTTTGCATTATTTACTTGGAGTCGAGTAAAGCCATTAATTCTCAGTTCTGTGTCCTGCGCCTGATTCCGTTTCCCCACTGCACCCAGACGCTGACAGAATCACGCACCCGTTATGGAGTCAGCAGGCACGCCCGATCCCAGCGCTTCGGTGGAGGAACGCATCCACCAGCATGCGACCATACTGCAGCGACTATGCTCGGCTCTGGATCAAGTGATCCACACCATGGATCGATGGGAGAGAGTTGGGTTTTCTACACCTCCTCTTTCGCCGAATTCTCTTCCATCAGGATCCTCAACCCCTGGGTCCAGTGGTCTTCGGTTCTCGCTCCCGAGGGAATACGATGGGATAGCTGCCGGGTGTAAGGGTTTCCTGCTCCAGGTGGAACTTTACCTGGCCACCATCCACCCGGCTCCCTCGGGATACGAGAGCGTGTCCGCCCTCATCTCCTGTCTGTCGGGCAGAGCCCTGGAATGGGCCAACGCGGAGTGGGGTGGAATAGACGCTGAGTCCGTTCGCTATGAGGATTTTACCCGCCGTTTCCGGGCAGTATTCGATCATCCGCCTGAGGGGAGAGCGGCGGGGGAGCGGCGGGGGAGCGGCGGGGGAGCGGCGGGGGAGCGTCTGTTTCACCTCAGTCAGGGAAGGAGGAGCGCACAGGAATACGCCCTGGATTTCAGGACACTGGCAGCCAGCGCGGGATGGAACGAGAGGGCCCTGATTGATCACTACCGATGCAGTCTACGGGAGGACGTTCGTCGGGAGCTGGCCTGCAGGGACACTAATCTTAACCTGGACCAGCTGGTAGATTTATCGATCTGGCTGGATAACCTGTTGGCTACCCGCGGACGTCCAGATCAGGGTCCGTCCAGTCCATCCCACAGCACTTCCGAGTCCACACCTATGGAGCTTGGAAGTGCTGATGCGGAGAGGCCGAGCAAGGGGGTGGTCTCCTGCACCAACTGTGGCCGCAGAGGACACACTGCGGGCTGGTGCAGGAGAAGACCCTCATGGAATCGAGGCAGCAGGCAGGGTTCTGGGGGATCATCTCAGGTGAGTAGGCACCCAACTCACCCAGAGCTCCCTGTTGCTCACATGATGATTAATGTTATTTTCCCTGAGTTTTCCCCACATTCCCAGCATAGGGCGCTCGTAGATTCCGGCGCAGCTGGGGATTTTATGGACAGATTGGTTGCGCATAGATTAGGGATTCCTATATTGCCGTTAGATGTGCCCTTCCCCATACGTGCCCTAGATAGTCGCCCATTAGGGTCAGGTATGGTTAGGGAGGTCACAGCTCCACTTCGGATGGAGACACAGGGGGATCATGAAGAGAGAATTAGTCTCTTCCTCATTGATACCACTGCTTTTCCCGTGGTGCTGGGCCTTCCCTGGCTAGCCGTGTTCGTGCCGTGAAAGGAGGGGTTCTTCTTTGTCTGAAAGCAATGGCTAGCTAGTTTGCTAACTATTCTAGCTAACTAACTGGCTGAATAAGTTGACGACGGACTCGCTCAAGCTGTCGGGACTAACCCACAACGTTAGACACGGACACGAACGATCTGCTTGCGTGTTGATACACTGGTGGTTTGTTGTGGCAGAGTATTGGCGCTAAACCGTGTTGCTGGAGTCCGGCATGCTAGCTGGCTGTGGCGTCATATGACTTGATGCCCGGACGATTTTCACGGAATAATACTGCACCTAGTTAACTAGCTGAATAAACTGAGTTAGTCTATTCCTAGAAACATTGAACCGCTGTAGTTTACAACAATTATAGTTTCTGAGGTGGAAGTTGGGAGAGTTATATTTGGGAGTTGTGCTGAGGGAGGCCCCGCTCTCTCCTTTCCCAGATGTTTAGTTCATTTTATTCCGATCTCCTCTGCATTATTGTAGCCATTTGCTGCAGCCTGTCAACTATGCCTCTGCCTATCCCTGTTCTCTCCTCTCCGCACAGGCTACACAAACGCCTCACACCGCGTGGCTGCTGCCTCTCTAACCTGGTGGTCCCTGCACGCACCACCCACCTGGAGTTCCAGGTCTCAGGCAGCCTCTGGAACTGCCGTTCTGCTGCCAACAAGGCAGACTTCATCCCAGCCTATGCTACCCTCCAGTCCCTCGACTTCTTGGCGCTGACGGAAACATGGATTACCACTGAAAACACTGCTACTCCTACTGCTCTCTCCTCGTCTGACCATGTGTTCTCGCATACCCCGAGAGCATCTGGTCAGCGGCGTGGTGGCACAGGAATCCTCATCTCGCCCAAGTGGACATTCTCAATTTTTCCCCTAACCCATCTGTCTATCTCCTCATTTGAATTCCATGCTGTCACAGTCACTAGCCCATTTAAGCTTAATATCCTTGTCATCTATCGCCCTCCAGGTTCCCTTGGAGAGTTCATCAATGAGCTTGACGCCTTGATAAGTTCCTTTCCAGAGGATGGCTCACCCCTCACAGTTCTGGGGGATTTCAACCTCCCTACGTCTACATTTGACTCATTTCTCTCTGCCTCCTTCTTTCCACTCCTCTCCTCTTTTGACCTCACCCTCTCACCGTCCCCCCCTACTCACAAGGCAGGCAATACGCTTGACCTCATCTTTACTAGATGCTGTTCTTCTACTAATCTCACTGCAACTCCCCTCCATGTCTCCGACCACTACTTTGTATCCTTTTCTCTCTCGCTCTCCTCCAACACTACTCACTCTGCCCCTACACAGATGGTAATGCGCCGTCGCAACCTTCGCTCTCTCTCTCCCACTACTCTCTCCTCTTCCATCCTATCATCTCTTCCCTCTGCTCAATCCTTCTCCCTCCAATCTCCTGATTCTGCCTCCTCAACCCTCCTCTCCTCCCTTTCTGCATCCTTTGACTCTCTATGTCCCCTATCCTCCCGGCCGGCTCGGTCCTCCCCTCCAGCTCCGTGGCTTGATGACTCATTGCGAGCTCACAGAACAGAGCTCCGGGCAGCTGAGCGGAAATGGAAGAAAACTAGACTCCCTGCGGACCTGGCATCTTTTCACTCCCTCCTCTCTACATTTTCTTCATCAGTTTCTGCTGCTAAGGCCACTTTCTACCACGCTAAATTCCAAGCATCTGCCTCTAACCCTAGGAAGCTCTTTGCCACATTCTCCTCCCTGCTGAATCCCCCCCCCTCCCTCTCTGTGGATGACTTCGTCAACCACTTTGAAAAGAAGGTTGACGACATCCGATCCTCGTTTTTTGTTAAGTCAAATGACACTGCTGGTCCTGCTCACACTGCCCTACCCTATGCTTTGACTTCTTTCTCCCCTCTCTCTCCAGATAAAATCTTGCGACTTGTGACTGCAGGCCGCCCAACAACCTGCCCGCTTGACCCTATCCCCTCCTCTCTTCTCCAGACCATCTCCGGTGACCTTCTCCCCTACCTCACCTCGCTGATCAACTCATCCTTGACCGCTGGCTATGTCCCTTCCGTCTTCAAGAGAGCGAGAGTTGCACCCCTTCTCAAAAAACCAACACTCGATCCCTCTGATGTCAACAACTACAGACCAGTATCCCTTCTTTCTTTTCTCTCCAAAACTATTGAGCGTGCCGTCTTTAGCCAACTCTCTTGCTATCTCTCTCAGAATGACCTTCTTGATCCAAACCAGTCAGGTTTCAAGACTGGTCATTCAACTGAGACTGCTCTTCTCTGTGTCACGGAGGCTCTCCGCACTGCTAAAGCTAACTCTCTCTCCTCTGCTCTTGTCCTTCTAGACCTGTCTGCTGCCTTTGATACTGTGAACCATCAGATCCTCCTCTCCACCCTCTCCGAGCTGGGCATCTCCGGCGCGGCTCACTCTTGGATTGCGTCCTACCTGACCGGTCGCTCCTACCAAATGGCGTGGCGAGAAGCTGTCTCCGCACCACGTGCTCTCACCACTGGTGTCCCCCAGGGCTCAGTTCTAGGCCCTCTCCTATTCTCGCTATACACCAAGTCACTTGGCTCTGTCATATCCTCACATGGCCTCTCCTATCATTGCTACGCTGACGACACACAACTAATCTTCTCCTTTCCCCCTTCTGATAACCAGGTGGCGAATCGCATCTCTGCATGTCTGGCAGACATATCAGTATGGATGACGGATCACCACCTCAAGCTGAACCTTGGCAAGACAGAGCTGCTCTTCCTCCCGGGGAAGGACTGCCTGTTCCATGATCTCGCCATCACGGTTGACAACTCCGTTGTGTCCTCCTCCCAGAGTGCGAAGAGCCTTTGCGTGACCCTGGACAACACCCTGTCGTTCTCCGCTAACATCAAGGCGGTGACCCGATCCTGTAGGTTCATGCTCTACAACGTTCGGAGAGTACGACCCTGCCTTACACAGGAAGCGGCACAGGTCCTAATCCAGGCACTTGTCATCTCCCGTCTGGATTACTGCAACTCGCTGTTGGCTGGGCTCCCTGCCTGTGCCATTAAACCCCTACAACTCATCCAGAATGCCGCAGCCCGTCTGGTGTTCAACCTTCCCAAGTTCTCTCACGTCACCCCCCTCCTCCGCACACTCCACTGGCTTCCAGTTGAAGCTCGCATCTGTTACAAGACCATGGTGCTTGCCTATGGAGCTGTGAGGGGAACGGCACCTCCGTACCTTCAGGCTCTGATCAGTCCCTACACCCAAACGAGGGCATTGCGTTCATCCACCTCTGGCCTGCTGGCTCCCCTTCCTCTGCGGAAGCATAGTTCCCGCTCAACCCAGTCAAAACTGTTCGCTGCTCTGGCACCCCAATGGTGGAACAAGCTCCCTCACGACGCCAGGACAGCGGAGTCACTCACCACCTTCCGGAGACATTTGAAACCCCACCTCTTTAAGGAATACCTTGGATAGGATAAAGTAATCCTTCTACCCCTCCCCTATCCCAACCCACCCCCCCCCCCCCCCCTTGAGGGGGCTAAACACCCTTTTCTCATTTTGACTGACCACCGCAATCTGGAGTACATTCGGGCAGCGAGGAGACTGAATCCTCATCAGGCAAGGTGGGCCATGTTTTTCACGCGTTTTGTGTTCACCCTATCGTATAGACCAGGTTCCCAGAATGCTAAGGCAGACGCTCTGTCCCGGCTATATGACTCAGAGGATCGGACCAGGGAGCCTACTCCCATACTTCCGGCTTCCTGTCTGGTGGCGCCGGTGGTATGGGAGGTTGACACGGACATCGAGCGGGCATTACGGAGCCCACTCCCCCCCAGTGTCCAGTGGGTCGTGCGTACGTTCCGTCCGAGGTTCGCGATCGTTTGATTTATTGGGCTCACACGTCACCTGCTTCTGGCCATCCTGGCATTGGTCGGACAGTGCGCTGTCTTAGTGGGAAGTACTGGTGGCCCACCTTAGCTCAGGACGTGAGGGTTTATGTTTCTTCCTGTTCGGTGTGCGCTCAGTGCAAGGCACCTAGACACCTGCCCAGAGGTATATTACAACCTCTCCCCGTTCCACAGCGGCCGTGGTCACACCTATCGGTGGACTTTGTTACAGATCTTCCTCCGTCACAGGGTAACACCACGATCCTGGTTGTTGTGGATCGGTTTTCTAAGTCCTGTCGTCTCATTCCTTTGCCCGGTCTCCCTACTGCCCTACAGACCGCAGAGGCCCTGTTTACACACGTCTTCCGGCACTACGGGGTGCCTGAGGATATAGTGTCTGATCGGGGTCCCCAGTTCACATCGAGGGTCTGGAAGGTGTTTATGGACCATCTGGGGGTCTCGGTCAGCCTGACCTCAGGTTTTCACCCCGAGAGTAATGGGCAGGTGGAAAGAGTAAACCAGGATGTGGGTAGGTTTCTGAGGTCGTATTGCCAGGACCGGCAGGGGGATTGGTCAGTTTACATCCCCTAGGCCGAAATGGCTCAAAATTCCCTCCGCCACTCCTCCACTGACCTGTCTCCCTTTCAGTGTGTACTAGGTTACCAGCCGGTCCTGGCACCGTGGCATCAGAGCCAGATCGAGGCTCCTACGGTGGATGAATGGTTTCGGCGCTCGGAGGAGACATGGAACGCTGCCCATGTACGCCTGCAAAGGGCGATTAGGAGACAGAAGGCGAGTGCCGACCGCCACCGCAGTGAGGCTCCGGTTTATGCACCGGGGGACCGGATCTGGCTCTCGACCCGAAACCTGCCCCTTCGCCTGCCCTGCCGGAAACTGGGTCGGCGGTTTGTGGGGCCCTTTAAAGTCCTGAGGAGGTTGAACGAGGTTTGTTATAGGTTACAGCTCCCCCCTGATTACAGTATTAACCCCTCGTTCCATGTGTCTCTCCTCAGGCCGGTGGTAGCTGGTCCGCTCCAGGAGTCCGAGGTGCGGGAGGTTCCTCCGCCCCCATTAGACATTGAGGGGGCACCGGCGTACTCGGTCCGTTCCATCATGGATTCGAGGCGTCGGGTTGGAGGCCTGCAGTATCTCGTGGAGTGGGAGGGGTACGGTCCGGAGGAACGGAGCTGGGTTCCCAGGAGGGACATCCTCGATCCCTCCTTGTTAAGGGAGTTCCATCGTCGTCATCCGACTCGCCCTGCTCCGCGTCCTCCTGGCCGTCCCCGAGGCCGGTGTCGACGCACGGCTGGAGCCGCGCGTCGGGGGGGGGGGGGGGGGGTACTGTCACGGATACGGCCGAGGCTGCCCCTCCTCCTCGTTCGGGCAGGCTTCGGCGGTCGTCGTCACCGGAGTACTAGCTGCCACCGATCGATGTTTCTGTGTCTCACTAGTTCTGTCTGTATTGTTCACACCTGTTACCCATTAGGCTTATTAGTTTCCCTATATTACCTCTGTTTTCCCTCCTGAGTGTGTGCGTGATTGTTCTTGTTACGTCGTCTGTTGAGCTGTTGTTTTTGCTCTTCCCTGCGTGGAGGGTTTGCATTATTTACTTGGAGTCGAGTAAAGCCATTAATTCTCAGTTCTGTGTCCTGCGCCTGATTCTGTTTCCCCACTGCACCCAGACGCTGACAACTTTGTTGTCTTTAAGCCATTTTGCCACAACTTTGGAAGTATGCTTGGGGTAATTGTCCATTTGGAAGACCCATTTGCGACCAAGCTTTAACTTCCTGACTAATGTCTTGAGATGTTGCTTCAATATATCTACATAATTTTCATTCCTCATGATGCCATCTATTTTGTGAAGTGCACCAGACCCTCCTGCAGCAAAGCACCCCCACAGCATGATGCTGCCACCCCTGTGCTTCACGGTTGGGATGGTGTTCTTCGGCTTGCAAGCTACCCCCTTTTTCCTCCATTATGGCCAAACAGTTCTATTTTTGTTTCATCAGACCAAAAAATAAGATATTTGGCCCCATGTGCAGTTGCAAACCGTATTCTGGCTTTTTATGGTGGTTTTGGAGCAGTGGCTTCTTCCTTGCTGAGCGGCCTTTCAGGTTATGTCGATATAGGACTCGTTTTACTGTGGATATAGATAATTTTGTACCTGTTTCCTCCAGCATCTTCACAAGGTCCTTTGCTGTTGTTCTGGGATTGATTTGCACTTTTCGCACCAAAGTACGTTCATCTCTAGGAGACAGAACACGTCTCCTTCCTGAGCAGTATGACGACTGCGTGGTCCCATGGTGTTTATACTTGCGTACTATGGTTTGTACAGATGAACGTGGTACCTTCAGGTGTTTGGAAATTGCTCCCAAGAATGAACCAGACTTGTGGAGGTCTACAATTTTTTTTCTGAGGTCTTGGCTGATTTATTTTGATTTTCCCATGATGTCAAGCAAAGAGGCACTGAGTTTGAAGGTAGGACTTGAAATACATCCACAAGTACACCTCCAATTGACTCAAATGATGTCAATTAGCCTATCAGAAGCTTCTAAAGCCATGACATCATTTTCTGGAATTTTCCAAGCTGTTTTAAAGGCACAGTCAACTTAGTGTATGTAAACTTCTGACCCACTGGAATTGCCATACAGTGAATTATAAGTGAAATAATCTGTCTTGAAACAATTGTTGGAAAAATTACTTGTGTCATGCACAAAGTAGATGTCCTAACCGACTTGCCAAAACTATAGTTTGTTAACAAGAAATTTGTGGAGTGGTTGAAAAACGAGTTTTAATGACTCCAACCTAAGTGTATGTAAACTTCCGACTTCAACTGTACACTTTCATTTTTTTTGTTTTCTTCTGTTTACTGGTCCCCCTTGGGAATCGAGCCCACAACCCTGGCGTTGCAAGCGACATGCTCTACCAACTGAGCCACACGGGACCGATAGATACAGTGTCAACGTGTTAGATTATGGTCTGTTTACTCATATGGCTACTAGCTAGTGTTGAAAATGCTGCTCTTAAAATCTAATCAAGACAGATTAAAAAACTTCCTTTGACTGTAATTCTAATCTTAGATCATGAATAATGACTCGCTTGTTAGAGGCCCCTGACCTACACCAGAGTGTCCGGATTTAAATTGGGAACACAAACATGCCTGAAATCCTCTGACAGTTATTCATTAGTCCTATTCAAACTCTTAACCCCAAGGTCAATGAGCAGACACCATGTAATGATGTCATCCTCACTTAGTCTTTGTTTCCTTCCGCAGCCTTCACGCTACTTCTACTGTATAGATGTTAACATGTTACGAGTGGTTACAGAGAGCCAAAGAAGGATCATGTTTAGGGGGATAGAAATCAGTGTAACTGTTTTTAATCGTTCTAACTTCTAGTTCCTACAACCCTTGGCATCTGATGATTCTTAAATGGATAGTTCAACAAAAGCACATGTTTATACAACATCTAAATATGTCATTTCGCTAAACAATCCCTTTAAGTTATACCATGGCTGTTTTCTATTTAAATACACAAACTGGGCCTATATAAGTAGATTTGAACGCTGCTGATTTCTGATTTGTAAACCGGATTACCTGTTGGCTTGACTTCCCCTTCTCATTTTTGTCCCTTAATCCTCTTTTTAATTATTATTGCAGATATGAGGTATGAGGCTCAAACTAAGCTCAAAATGCTTGTTTTCCTAGCTGCTGATAAAAAGATTTACCCTGGGAGTTGTGAACACCTGCCTTGAAATATTGTTCCACGTCTCCTGAATGCCATTTGGCTTAATTGACTTGGAAACGTCCCAAATGCGTCATTGACGATGTGGTCTAATTAATATTAATAATATGCTATTATAAACATCAAAGAACATCTGGTGCCCCTATTTTGTCTCTCCCCAGCAGTCTTGGGTGTGAATATCCCTCTCAGGCGGTTTCATCTTAAAGCAAAACGCCTAGGTTTAGTCATTTAGGTGCTTTAGTTTATACTGCACGCAGACTGTTACAATATAACAATTATGCGTGTGTGTATGTGTGTGTGTGTGTGTGTGTGTGTGTGTGTGTGTGTGTGTGTGTGTGTGTATATGCGCACACTCATGTGTGTGTGTGTGTGTGTTTACATGGGTGGTGAACAGATTGAATAAAGAGTGTATTTCCATATGAAATTAATCACTTTCCCTACCAGCTGTATGCTTTGCCACAGCACATTATTAGACTTTTTCTTTTGCATTTCTAATCACAGGTTGGATAACTCATATGCATCTCTTCATTATCTGATCCTCTGTGTTAGGTGAGAGAAGCAGGGCCCTGTAATGATAGTTTGGTTGATAAATCTAAGCACTAAAATTACTCATAATGTGGGTCTAGTCAGTGTAAGTAAATCTAAAACTGATTAAGTTAGCATGAACCAGGCAATCACAAAGATGGCACCCGTCCAAAGACAGAAGATGAGTCGGGTCTTGAGTCTTTGTGTTGTTTCGCTGCTCTGAGGGGTATTGGCGAGCAAATGTGTTTTTGAAAGAGACAGTGGCCAAAATTAGGTCAGATATGTCTGTTTCTTTCAGACCTGCAGGTAGTTTCATGGTAACGTAAGGCACAGATTAATTAAGATAAACAGCGTGTCTATGCCTGCATTTACACAGGCAGACCAATTATAATATTTTTCCACTAATTGGTCTTTTGACCAATCACATCAGATCTTTTCACATCAGCTCTTTTTCAGGTGCTGATCTGATTGGTCAAAAGACCAATTAGTGAAAAAAATATCAGAATTGGGCTGCCTGTGTAAACACAGCCTAACTGTCTGAAATACTGCCATTAAGCAGGAGTTTTTTTGTGACTAAAGGCAATGGGTGTGGTGTTTCTGAGGAGGCTTCTTCCCACTCACTGTCCTGTCTGAACACATGCACACACACACACACACACACACACACACACACACACACACACACACACACACACACACACACACACACACACACACACACACACACACACACACACACACACACACACACACACACACACACACTAATTATTGTTGACTGTGTTGTTCAAGCTCATTTATATGTGACTCCAGATGTGATTTCTACCTCAATATGGCTGCGTTTAGAGAGCCAGCCCAATTCTGATCTTTTTTTCACTATTTGATATTTTGACCAATCAGATCAGCTCTGAAGAAGGTCTGATGTGAAAAGATCTGATGTGATTGGTCAAAAGACCAATTAGTGTTAGAAATATCAGAATTGGGCTGCCTGTCTAAATGTAGCCTATTAGTGTGGTGTTTTATGATCTGCTCCATTCAATGTATTTATTCTCCTCTAGGTATATTAAGTAGTTTAAAATCCCAATATTTAAACAAAGGCAATTTTTTAATCTAATTTATCTCATTAAATGACGGATGGCGGTGATATTAAAGTTGGAGACAGCATACAAACAACTGCAGATCATTAGATTGAGCGATTTACCTCAGGGAGAATTACCTCAGGGTCAGATCTGATCTGAAGGTGTTATGAAATTGATTTTTCAGCCAAGGGGAATGAATCACTGTTGTAAGTCAGATATTAATCCATTAAAGAAGAACAATAAGGCATCAATATGCACAAAATTAAATGAACGGCGCTGGAACTTTATCTCGCCATCCCAGATGCCACATAACTAAAAGACACAGTATAATGTATGACCTGACCTTCAAATGCCAGGAGAGTGTTGGACAATAAACTGCCAATATTTGTGGCTTAATAGCGGCAGATGACTTTTACAGTAATTGGAATGGCACCGAAACAGCTGGGTTGCTTAAAGAAGGTGGAATGCAACGGGTGTGTCTCAAATGGCACCCTATACCCTATATAGAACACTACTTTTGACCAGAGCCCTGGGTCAATATGGTGTCATTTGGGACACAACCAAGGGTCTCTCAGACAAGTGCTAACTCAAAATGGTGGCAGTGTATGTAACCCTATAGGCAAGGCTGTTATAACACAGCTCAACCTAACATGACGCCTGGAGAGAAGTGTTCATGTATGCAGTGTCCATATTAGGACAGTTACACATCCAACTCCAAATGACTTTGACAGATGTTTCATGGACATGTGACTTTGGCCTAATATGGACACCGTACAGGTGAGAAGTCAATCCAACTTGCTCACCAAGTTTATGGGGATAAGCCAATAATATAATTGTATTTGCTGCTAACGTCTTTGAGTATATTCCTTGCGGATGGTGCTCTACACTCCATGCTGTGCGATGATGTATCGCTTGGGCTGAAAGCTGATTACAAGCCTGATTTACTGCGGAGCATGACTTAAATCATTCAACTCAGCATTGTGTGGCACTGCACACATTATTCATGTTTAGAAATGGCAGCCATATGTACACACACATTTCCCAAGTTCTCAGGGATGATCCAATCGCTCAGGTTCTTTAGGTTGGTTCTCAGTATGCCAATGATTTAGTCGTACAAGTCACACAATTGTTTCTGAATTATAACATATACCTACAACTATCCAGAGAAACTTACATGTGAAATACTGGTATGGAGATGTCTGATTCAGGCTGCGCTGTTGTTCTGTCTTGTGGCTCTAACAGGTAAGGAGAAGTCCTACAGCTGTCTCTCCAGTGACTACACCAGCGCACAGTCAGCCTCTCTCAGTTACCATCTGGAGGGCTTCCACCCCAACCAACACCCCAAGTGGAACCAGGACACCAGGGACAACAGAGCCACCTCAACCCCACAGACCCCAAGCCCCAAGGACCGGAACCCTACTTCTGCCCTCTACAGTGGGGTGGAAGGCACTGATGAGAACCGGAGAAACACAGGTACACTGCAAATGGACAGGCCTCCCAACCTGCCCAACTCTTCCAACCTGAATCTACACCGGGCCTATGGAGGACCTCCAGCTATTGAGGACAACAATGTGAACCCACAGGGTCTTCATCAATCCATACAGACCTTCATCAATGGCCTGACGTCCAGCATTCTGAGAGGGGGTAGAAAGAGGAGAGCAAGGGGAGGGAGGGTCAGCCCTCCGGGGGGAGGACAGGGGAGCTCTGAGGGGGAGGATGGTGTTGGAGTCAGGGGGAGTGACTGGGACAGTGAGGGGGAGGACAGTGTTGGAGTCAGGTGGAGTGACTGGGACAGTGAGAGGGAGGCAGGTGCTGGTGGCTCTGCAGTCACACCCAGGACCAGGAAGTCCCAGTATGAACCTCTGGATTTGTCTCTAAGGCCAGACTGGATGCTGTTGTCTCAGCCTGGTTTAAGGGGATTGACTGGGTTATTCCAGCAGCACAGCAGTGTGTGTAATGACTCCCTCTCCTCCAATAGCAATGGGCTGCAGGCACCCACTGGACAACACACAGCCCAGTCTGACACTGATAGTGACCTGGAGAAGCCTATAGAGCAGGAGGACCCACACACCTATGACTCCTCAGCTCACAATGGGGATTGTACACTGGAGAGACCTGTGTTCAACAAAGAGAGGGAAGAAATGGCACTCAACAAGTGGAGGATGATGAAGAGTAGCAGCAACGAAGCAGGGCTGAGTGAGGAGATGACAGAGATGATGGTTGGCGGTTCCCAGGGGCCCAGTGAGGCCCCTCAGTGTACCCAGGAGAAGCAGGGCCAGTGGGGCAGGTCAGTCATCCAGCCTCTCCTCTCTCCTCTGGAGCTGTTGAAGCCAGGGCAGACTCCTCACCACTACCTCCATCACCACAGGAACCTCTCAATCCTCCGGTCCTCCAGTGGCCAGAATCACACGCTCCTCAATGGCCATGCAGCTAGCTTGAATGGTGGAGGGGGAGGGCCCATGGAGAGAGCAGATACTTCAAGTGAGTGTCCTTTTCTCTGCCCCATGAATGATGTCAACTGTACCTTTGGTTCCTAACTCTTTCCCACATTATATGAGAGTACAATGCCATCTAGTGGACAAGTAGTGATCCTGCCTCCTTATATCATCCTTTCCTATACTATCCTATCCTATATGTTTGGATCTTTAGTACACTCTCTTTCACTAGATAGATAGGCTTACCTCAGCAGACAATTTGTCAGAGGAAATTGATGAACTCTAGTTAGTTTGAACACTTGTGATTGTGAATCTCAGAAGAACTAAAACAAGGGTACTGGAGTCACGGGTGTGTGGCACTGATTACATCCCCACGATACAATTTCACCATCTGATAGGTAACAAATCACCCTGGCAATGGGACCCATTTGATGGAGAGGCTTAAATCTTGTGTGATACGCCTGCAGAGAGCAATATTTAATTACCTGGCTCTCTAGAGAGTTCTTTCAGACAGCTGGGATCCTTTGATATGATATGCATGTATTATGAGTGCAACTTGATACCCCGTCATTCTGATCTATCTGATGCAGAAACACAATATGAAACACAATATGCTCGTATGAAAGACATTAAAGTGCATGTCAACTCTGTTTGGACACAACATCTGTTCTGCTCATTGATGGTTCCTGTTGGTAAAAGTGTAGGCTACAGTATGTCGGAATAATTGTTAGATATACTAGATGCATATTACAACTTCCTGAATTGACGTTCATTTCTGCACTCATCTCAACTCTTCAGGTCATTGCATATCCAGGGTTTACACATTTTTTAACTTACCTTTGGTCACTTTCCTGAAAAGGTGTTTATTTTACAATAATTGTACAATAATTTATAATAAGTTACATCGCTAGTATAGTTTGGTATTGAAATTATAAAAGAGGATAACTAAGTAAACCCATTGTAAATGCCCCCCATTACCACACTCTAAAGTAGAGTCTATCATTAGCTAAGCTGGAAAGGCATCAGTCAAAGTTGACATAATTGACATTGAGCCTAGCGACTGCCCTCTAACTACAAACAACAAGCAGGTGGTCAGTCAGTTATTCTCATCACACCAACTGCTTCTGCCTGCCCTGTTTTCAATATTGGCCAGGTGGCATTGTCAAGAACCTGCCTCCTGTCCATATGTCCCCATACTGTACTTCTAGGTCTAGTCACTCAGTGACATATTGCCGGGCACAGTGGACATGGAGTGATGTGTGATGTGTGTGCAATGACAGTTCAGGTTGGACACAGTGTGCCAAAGGTGGTAATTGGCCAGATGGTGACCCCTGGATGAACCTGTCTGCATGCTCATTAGTTTTGTATTGAGCCCTCCCTCATTGTTAATGTCCTGCAACTGCATCTCCCAATCACAGCCACTAGATGGTGACATAATCCACTTATTTTTCCTTCACATTGAAAAAAAAACAATAAAACCATGCGAAACCCTGAGAATATGAGTAGATCGATACAGAACGAATGATCTAAGAATGAATGAAAGAAAGTGAAAGAAAATACCTGATTTGAAAAGGAGAAGAGAGAAAGAGCGAGAGAGAGAGAGAGAGAGAGGGAGAGAGAGAGACAATAGATGGAGATAGATGGAGCGACAGAGGATGTCGTTTGAGGGCAGAGAAAGGGCAGGCCGAGCAGGCTGCCATGTGCCTGGGTCTCCCCATAGAGATAATGAAGGGTGGAGTGCTGGGAAGGATATGCAGTCATCACTCACTGTCTCTGTGCCATCAGAGCTCAGCGCTGTGTCATCCGTCACCATTCAGCTCCTCCCCTACAGCCCCGCCACTGTCATCATGGTTATTATCTCTGCCTGAAACACACACACACACACACATTCATTTGTGCGCGCACATTAACACACACACACACCATGTGTGTGATATACCTACACACAGAGATGTGCACACGCACGCACACTCCCTCCCATTCCCACATCCTTTCTTGTTTCCTGGTAAATGTGTGTGTGAGCTGGTCTGGTGTCAGGCTGGTGTTTAGCCTATGAATGGGTGATCATGTGTTGGTGAGATGGATGGCTCTGGGCCCAGGCCTGTCTCCTCTAATTGTAAAATATTAGTTAGATTAGACTGTGGCCTGTGATTAATGGAACTTATTTGGAGGTTGCCCTCTCCTGGACCTCCCCTCTCCTCCATTGGGAGGGAGATACCAGGAAGAAAGAATGTACGAGACAGGAAGAGGAGAGAGAAAGAGGGGAGAGATAGGGCAAGCACTATACACTTGCTTAATATTATATTATTTGCTGATGTTGCTTAATTTGTAACACGTTAAAAAGATAGCTTACATTTTGTAATGGCTCTAAGAAGAAAGGAGATTTGGTAAGATATATTATGAGTAATTCCCTTTTCTTGAAACAAAATTCCCTTTTCTTAACCAAAAGTACTGCCCTGACCTGTTCCAAAATATCTTATCCTGCATTTAGCGATTTATTACATCCCTGATTCTCCAAGTCAGGGTTTAAACATTTTTGTTTTCTTCTTACAATACAATAGGCAAAGCCTTTAATTTGCAGACAATACTATGGCTGACCCTGTACAACAACACATCTCACTGCACCTATCCGGTGAATGTGACAATAAAATATATACAGTACCAGTCAAAAGTTTGGACACACCTACTCATTCAAGGGATTTTCTTTATTTTTACTATTTTCTACATGGTTGAATAATAGTGAAGACATCAAAACTATGAAATAACACATGGAATCATGTAGTAACCAAAAAAGTGTTAAACAAATCAAAATATATGTTATATTTGAAATTCTTCAAAGTAGCCACCCTTTGCCTTGATGACAGCTTTGCACACTCTTGGCATTCTCTCAACCAGCTTCATGAGGAATGCTTTTCCAACGGTCTTGAAGGAGTTCCCACATATGCTGAGCACTTGTTGTCTGCTTTTCCTTCACTCTGCGGTCCAACTCATCCCAAACCATCTCAATTGGGTTGAGGTCGGGTGATTGTGGAGGCCAGGTCATCTGATGCAGCACTCCATCACTCTCCTTGGTCAAATAGCCCTACACAGACTGGAGGTGTGTTTTGGGTCATTGTCCTGTTGAAAAACAAATGATAGTCCCACTAAGTGCAAACCAGATGGGATGGCGTATTGCTGCAGAATGCTGTGGTAGCCATGCTGGTTAAGTGTGCCTTCAATTCTAAATAAATCACAGACAGTGTCATCAGCAAAGCACCACCACACCATCACACCTCCTCCTCCATGCTTCACGGTGGGAACCACACATGCAGAGATCATCCGTTCACCTACTCTGCGTTGCACAAAGACACGGTGGTTGGAACCAGAAATCTCACATTTGGAGTCATCAGACCAAAGGACATATTTCCACCGGTCTAATGTCATTTACTCGTGTTTCTTGGCCCAAGCAAGTCTCTTCTTCTAATTGGTGACCTTTAGTCATGAAGGCCTGATTCACGCAGTCTCCTCTGAACAGTTGATGTTGAGATGTGTCTGTTACTTGAACTCTGTGAAGCATTTATTTGGGCTGCAATCGGAGGTGCAGTTAACTCTAATGAACTTATCCTCTGCAGCAGAGGTAACTCTGGGTCTTCCTTTCCTGTGGCAGTCCTCATGAGAGCCAGTTTCATCATAGCGCTTGATGGTTTTTGCGACTGCACTTGAAGAAACTTTCAAAGTTCTTGACATTTTCCAAATTGACTGACCTTCATGTCTTAAAGTAATGATGGACTGTCATTTCTCTTTGCATATTTGAGCTGTTCTTGCCATAATATGAACTTGGTATTTTACCAAATAGGGCTATCTTCTGTATACCCCCCATACCTTGTCACAACACAACTGATTGGCTCAAACGCATTAAGAAGGAAAGAAATTCCACAAATTAACTTTTAACAAGTCACACCTGTTAATTGAAATGTATTCCAGGTGACTACCTCAGGAAGCTGGTTGAGAGAATGCCAAGAGTGTGCACAGCTGTCATCAAGGCAAAGAGTGGCTACTTTGAAGAATCTCAAATATAAAAAATATATATTGATTTGTTTAACACTTTGTTGGTTACTACATGATTCCATATGTGTTATTTCATAGTTTTGATATCTTCACTGTTATTCTACACTGTAGTAAATAGTAAAAATAAAGAAAAACCCTTGAATTAGTAAGTCTGTCCAAACTTTTGACTGGTAGTGCATTTGGAAAGTATTCAGACCCCTTCTCTTTTCCCACATGTTGTTACGGTACAGCCTTATTCTAAAATGGATAAAATAATTTTTTCCCCTCATCAATCTACACACAATAGTCCATAATGACAAAGTGAAAAACAGGTTTTTAGACAATTTTGCCAATTTAAGACCCTTTGATATGACACTTGAAATTGAGCTCAGGTGCTTCCTGTTTCCATTGATCATCCTTGAGATGTTTCTACAACTTGATTGTAGTCCACCTGTGGTAAATTCAGATGATTGGACATGATTTGGAAAGGCACGCACCTGTCTATATAAGGTCCTACAGTTGACAGTGCATGTCAGAGCAGAAACCAAGTCATGAGGTCGAAGGAATTGTCCTTAGAGCTCCGAGACAGGATTGTGTCGAGGCACAGATCTGGGGAAGGGTACCAAAAAAATTCTGCTGCATTGAAGGTCCCCATCTTTCTTAAATGAAAGACGTTTGGACCCACCTAGACTCTTCCTAAAATTGGCCGCTCAGCCAAACTGAGCAATCGGGGGAGAAGGACCTTGGTCAGGGAGATGACCAAGAACCCAATGGTCACTCTGACAGAGCTCCAGAGTTCCTCTGTGGAGATGGGAGAACCTTCCAGAAGGACAACCATCTCTGCAGCACTCCACCAATCAGGCCTTTATGGTAGAGTGGCCAGATGGAAGCCACTCCTCAGTAAAAGGCACATGACAGCCCGCTTGTACTTTGCCAAAAGGCACCTAAAGGACTCAGACCATGAGAAACAAGATTATCTGGTCTGATGAAACCAAGATTGAACTCTTTGGCCTGAATTCCAAGCCTCACGTCTGGAGGACACCTGGCACCATCCATACGGTGAAGCATGGTGGTGGTAGCATCAGTACAGAGAGATCCTTGATGAAAACCTGTTCCAGAGCGCTCAGGACTGCAGACTGGGGGCGAAGGTTCCCTTTCCAACAGGACAACCACCCTAAGCACACAGCCAAGACAAGGCAGGAGTGGCTTCGGGACAGTCTCTGAATGACCTTGAGTGGCCCAGCCAGAGCCTGGACTTGAACCTGATCGAACATCTCTGGAAAGACCTGAAAATAGCTGTGCAGCGACTCTCCCCATCCAACCTGACAGAGCTTGAGAGGATCTACAGAGAAGAATGGGAGAAACTCCCCAAATATAGGTGTGCCAATCTTGTAGCGTCATACCCAAGAATACTAGAGGCTGTAATTGCTGCCAACGGTGCTTCAACAAAGTACTGAGTAAAGGATCTGAATACTTATGTAAATTTGACATTTCAGTTTTTTGTTTTTAATACATTTGTGAAAATTTGTAAAAACCTATTTTTGCTTTGTCATTATGGGGTATTGTGTGTAGCTTGATGAGGAAAAAACAAACATTTAATCCATTTTAGAATAAGGCTGTAACGTAACAAAATGTGAAAAAAGTAAAGTGGTCTGAATACTTTCTGAATGCACTGTAATATATACATATATAGTCATTTATATCTTAGCTCCCAGAGCGTCAGTAAGACAGGTCAGTGATATTCAGACAGACAGCTCAGTGATATTGAGACAGATAGACAGGTCAGTGATATTCAGACAGACAGCTCAGTGATATTGAGACAGATAGACAGGTCAGTGATAGACAAACAGACAGGTCAGTGATATTCAGACAGATAGACAGGTCAGTGTATTTCAGAAAGATAGACAGGTCAGTGATAGACAGACATGTCAGTGATAATCAGACAGATAGACAGGTCAGTGATTTTCAGACAGACATGTCAGTGATATTCAGACAGATAGACAGGTCAGTGATAGACAGACATACAGGTCAGTGATAGACAGACAGGTCAGTGATATTCAGACAGATAGACAGGTCAGTGATATTCAGACAGATAAACTGGTCAGTGATATTCAGATAGACAGGTCAGTGTATTTCAGACAGATAGGCAGGTCAGTGATAGACAGACAGACAGGTCTGTGATAGACAGACAGAGAAGTCAGTGATATTCAGACAGACAGGTCAGTGATATTCCGACAGATAGGTCAGTGATATTCAGACAGACAGGTCAGTGATATTCAGACAGACATGTCAGTGATATTCAGATAGACAGGTCAATGATATTCAGACAGACAGGTCAGTGATCTTCAGACAGACAGGTCAATGATATTCAGACAGACAGGTCAGTGATCTTCAGACAGACAGGTCAGTGATATTCAGACAGACAGGTCAGTGATGTTCAGACAGGTCAGTGATATTCAGATAGACAGGTCAGTGATTTTTCAGACAGACAGGTCAGTGATATTCAGACATGTTGCATATCAGACAGACAGGTCAGAGATCTTCAGACAGACAGGTCAGTGATATTCAGATAGACAGGTCAATGATATTCAGACAGACAGGCCAGTGATCTTCAGACAGACAGGTCAGTGATCTTCAGACAGACAGGTCAGTGATATTCAGACACGTTGCATATCAGACAGACAGGTCAGTGATCTTCAGACAGACAGGTCAGTGATAGACAAACAGACAGGTCAGTGATATTCAGACATATAGACAGGTCAGTGCATTTCAGAAAGAGAGACAGGTCAGTGATAGACAGACAGGTCAGTGATAATCAGACAGATAAACAGGTCAGCGATATTCAGACAGACATGTCAGGGATATTCAGACAGATAGACAGGTCAGTGATAGACAGACATACAGGTCAGTGATAGACAGACAGGCCAGTGATATTCAGACAGACAGGTCAGTGATGTTCAGACAGACAGGTCAGTGATATTCAGACAGACAGGTCAGTGATTCTTCAGACAGACAGGTCAGTGATATTCAGACACGTTGCATATCAGACAGACAGGTCAGTGATCTTCAGACAGACAGGTCAGTGATATTCAGACACGTTGCATATCAGACAGACAGGTCAGTGATCTTCAGACAGACAGGTCAGTGATCTTCAGACAGACAGGTCAGTGATCTTCAGACAAACAGGTCAGTGATATTCAGACAGACAGGTCAGTGATATTCCGACAGACAGGTCAGTGATATTCCGACAGATAGGTCAGTGATATTCAGACAGACAGGTCAGTGATATTCAGACAGACAGGTCAGTGATTTTTCAGACAGACAGGTCAGTGATATTCAGACACGTTGCATATCAGACAGACAGGTCAGTGATCTTCAGACAGACAGGTCAGTGATATTCAGACACGTTGCATATCAGACAGACAGGTCAGTGATCTTCAGACAGACAGGTCAGTGATATTCAGACAGACAGGTCAGTGATATTCAGAGGGCACACATATGTGTCACTCTGTCTCATTTCCTGTACTGCTGGTTACTATTCACCAATAGATGGAGCATTACCTTTTATTGCCCAACACCTGTGGGCTTTTTACATTTTTTCAGCAAAATTACTTTTGATGTAGATGTTAAAGAAAGCTTTACATTTCATACAGAAGGAGGAGGAAGAGGAGGAGGAAGAGAGAGGTTAAAAGGTTGTGGCAGCGTGTTTTTTGAGGTCATATGACATCATCCCCTAACGGTTTACTGTAATCATGAATCATAGAAGAAGCCATGGAGTTATTCGAAGAAAGAAAGCATGGAGATTAGTTGTGCTTTAACCGGGCCTTTAATAGCATAAGACAACATCTTGACATACACCTTATTCGCATGGGACTAGTATTTCTATAGAACGTCGGTTATGTAATTATTACCCCAGCATGTCCATTGTTCCAGGGGACGATTCGGAGGGGATTAGTTTTACCAAACTGCCCCTGTAATATTTTTTTTTCCTCATTCAAAATTGACCGTTATGACAGAAGCTTGGAGGCTGAAGTTGATATGTGACAAAACAGTTAATTAATCTGTAGGCTACGTTTATAGCACTTTGTTTTAAGCATCCATTTGTTCCCAAGTTCTTACCCAAACTGGGTGCAGCACCTGTTCAACTCTGTAATATCCCTCAAAACACAGGGATGACGATTCGCACTGGATAAGTATTAGCAGATGACGAAAAACTGTAGGTTTTTAAGGGTGAGATAATAACCTTCCTGCCAAGCGAAAATGACTGACATGGCATATTCGGACGGACTAAAATGACAGATGTGGTGATTTGTGCTCGTGCACATAATTACATTACCTGAGCTCCCCCAGTAAAACCTATCCCGTCCGAATAGGGCTATAGTGTGTGTGTAAAAGTAAAAACAGAGTATAACCCAGCACAAATTAGTCAAATTATTAGTCAAGTGATGGGAGAGAGAGAGAGAGCGAGAGAGAGATGGAGAGAGAGATGGAGGGAGGCCTGTGCTCAGTGTAGCCAGCTGCAGACGTCTCTCATTCCTCAGCCCAACACTCATCACCACCATGAGCCCAGGGTGTGTATGAGTGCGTGTGTGTGTGTGTGTGTGTATGTGTGTGTGTGTGTGTGTGCATGCGTGTTTCTGTTGTTTTTTGTGTGCATAAAATGAGAAGGGAAGGACTTCCAAATCACTAATGACAGTAGTATGTACCATGTAGTACTAGTCAGAGGTGGAATTAGATGGGGAATGCATGGGGTTGGAGTTCCCAAAGTGAAACCAGAGTAATCTTCTCCATAATTCCACCGCTGGTATTATTATCATTTAGTCCACGATATTTTATGATTACCACTAGAGAGTTGGCACTAGAGAGTTGGCACTAGAGAGTTGGCACTAGAGTGTTGGCACTAGAGAGTTGGCAGTATTAAACACAATGAAGTATAATCAGTAGGGAGGGCTGGGAGGTTGATTTGTCTAAAGCAATGCTTTCCTCTCTGCCAGGGGGGAAGCCTTTCCAGTGCAGGTACTGCCCCTACAGCGCCACCCAGAAGGGGAACCTGAAGACTCATGTCCTGTGTGTCCACCGCAGGCCCTTCGACAGCAGCCTGTACCCAGACAGACGCCTCAGACGGCCCCGTGCCAACACCTCTGTGACCCCCTACACCTTCCAGGTTGGCTCTGCTAGCTCCTCCTACCTGCCCCACAGCATCATGGGCCTGGGAGAGGCCCCTAGGCCTACACCCACTGGGAGAGATATCATCATGACATCATTGTGTGGGACTTAATGTTGCTATGGCAACTGCATATAGACATAGTCAGCCATGATAGTACTTTAGTTTCAGGTGTGGAGGATGACAGAGATGTTGTTGGAGATGGAGTTGGAAGAGTTGGAGAAAAAAAAACAATGTACATTCCAGTGTGGACTTGAAAATATATTTATCTGTAAGAAACAAACTGCCTATAATAAAGTGTATTGTGGTGTGTGAAGAACAGAGAGATTGAGTGCTTTTTACTTAATTTATACTCAATGTCATAATGATTTATATTCACCCACATACATCCTTCAGCTCAACACTGACTGATTGTCTGATCGTGAGCAGGCACCAAACTAACTTCCCCCAAGCTCTTTCATGCACTATAAATGTTGGTGTTTTGGTAAATATCTCCTGATATGAGTTCTTCAGAACAGTTATCAGTCAGAATCCTATGCCAGATGTTCAGGGTGTAATCATGGCAGATGTAATGGAGTAGAATGCTTTAATTTGTTCTGTATTCCACTCAGGGGGAAAAACTCTCACACATATCATTATCTCCCATTAACAATGGGAACAATGTTCAATTAAGTGGAACCAAAGAAATGGAAACTGCATAGATTAATTTATATCATGGATGCACTGAAATGCAATACAAATCAAATATGATAATCATCCATAGGTGTATATGAGCCTACTGTATATCAGCCCATTTGTAATAAAGAAAGCCCTGCACAGACACACACACACACACACACACACACAGTAGCGGCCATCTACGGTAATGTTAGCAACATTCCGCCTGTAGAACAAGAGATCACCTTGGGCAGCTGTGTGTCTGCATCCGACCCACAGTAACCACGGCGATGTGTTTGATTGACCAACGGCCTGACAACTCCATTCAGCCAGCCACCTGCTAGCTGTCAATCAGGGCAGCCATCCCGGGGCTATTGACGGAGCTGTCAGCCTGGGTGAGACGTGTCTGTCAAAGGTCTCTTCTCCCGCTCTCTCCCTCGCTGCCTGGGCAGCCCACGCTCTCCTCCTCCCTCACATTCACTTCTTCTTTCTTCCTTCATTTTCCTATTTTCCTCCTGTTTTCCTTTTGAGACATTGGGGCACTCTAATCTCCACCCCAAAACACTTGTGGGGTTACATCTGTCTGTCTGGCTGTGAAACAATCCCTGAGGTATTGGAATAGATCACAACCACTTTGCAGGGGACTCTTGCGTATGTTAAGTCTCTGTGAGGTTTGCTTGTGAAGGCTCTCCAACTCACCTAGTACAGTATGAGGAAATGACTTGTGTCTATGTATTTAATGTTTGTGCTGTATGTTGTCATTGGTGATGACAGCTGCTTCTCTTCCTTTCTGCCTGTCTTGTCTCTCTCCTCCTCCTCTCCTCCCTCTCTCTGTTCACTCATCCCTCCATCTCTGTACCTGACAGGTGACAAGGCCCAGTCCTCCAGCTGACTGGGTAATCAGAGACCTATCATACAGTATCTGTCTATAGTCTGCCCAGGCCATGCCAAACCTGGCCATGCTGTACCCTACCCTACCTGCCTGGGGTGGTGGGTGACAGAGGACACAGGACAGAGAGTTTAGAGGTGCTACTAATCCCCACGTCTTTGAATGAATTCTGTCACCCAACCATCCACAGACACGCACTCATGCACGCACACACACACACTTACCTGTGTGCATCACCCCAAATATTGTCATGTCAAACTCTTAATTATGCACAGTTTCCCTTAAAGCGTACCCCATTAATTAACGCCCTGAGTTTTTTAATTACTCCTGATCAAGACTAATGTTTCAGTTGTCATCTTGCACCATAGCCAATATGATACTGAGAGGGGTTCACTACTCAGTTTAACAGAAGCAGAGGGTACGGCAAACGCAAGTCTTATTCACTAGGCACGAAATGGGGAGGTAGGCCTACTATCTGAACTTGTGCAATCAGAAACGTTCGTTTTCATTTTCTGTTGCAAAACGTTTCGCAATGGTGTGCTCTAATGAATACGACCCTGGTAGCCGTGGGATCATAGCCGCGGGAAGGGTGCTGGAGGTGCTGCAGCACCCCTCATATATTGAAATACATTTGCCAAAGTTATAGAATTACTGCTGTCTGTTCAGAAAGAAATGAAATAATTCAGAATAGTCTACTAAACATTGAGTAGGCCTAGAACTTAGCCACAGAGAATCAATAGCTCCTTAAAACAAATAGCCTGGTTGTGGATTGTGTGTAGCCCAATAACAAGGCATAACCTAGTCGGGAATGCGCAGCAAATCTGTCAGTGAACAGCATGCAGACAAAACAGGCCTTTCGCAATATTTCAAATACAATGGAAGAAAAACACAGGTTGGAAAGCAAATGGCTCCTACTGAAAAGAGATGTTGGCTACCAAAATATTTGCTCAACTTCCAAATAGGCCTATTGAGCGAAAAAAATTTTACAAAGTAAAACAAGAGAGAGGTAGGCCTTTACAACAAGCGCATCGGCCATCGCTGGCGAGTGAGCTGTGCATCATTGGGTGAGTCAGTGAAACTGAAAACCTTTTTAGGACTCTAATTTCCTCCTCATACTAAACAATAGGTGGGACTCCACACAATAGGATTCAAGATGAGGTCGTTTTTATTGATTGATTTATCTCAGTTTGTCAGTGTCAAAGTAGCCTGTCATTGCACTATTAAAAAATATTTTGCCAAAGTCTCCAGTAATGTAAAATGACATAGAATTGTATTAAATGCGTTTATAAAAGGCCACATTTTTCCCGGACCCTAGGCTACTAAAAATGGTCCCCATGTGTGTAAGCACCTCTACTGTACTGCTCTATGCCACTATGCAAATGTGCTGCTTTATTATAAAGGTAAAACAAATGAAAAGGTCACCCCCCAAGCTAACTTTGTGTTCCAGCACCGCCCGATTTACAAATTAAGCACTGAACACAGGTAGTCTAGACTCTAGCTAAACACCATATACTAAAATATCCACACAAGCCATTAGCGAGCCATAAATCATGAGTTAGAAGATTATGAATATAGGCTATATTTTGAAGTTATTATTTAATCAGTAAAAAATAATTGAGCTAGCTAACTAGCAGATTTACATCAATCATCAACATCAATGATCAGCTGATATCCCACCCTCTTTTCCTGATGTCAATCATGTTTTTAGGAGGTACTGTAACTAGCTTGCTTACAATTTGAAGCTGGTTGAGAGAATGTCAAGAGTGTGCAAAGCTGTCATCAAGGCAAAGGGTGGCTACTTTGAAGAATCTCAAATATAAAATATATTTTGATTTGTTTAACAATTTTTTGGTTACTACATGATTCCATGTGTGTTATTTCATCGTTTTGATGTCTTCACTATTATTCTATAATGTAGAAAATTGTGAAAATAAAGAAAAACCCTTGAATGAGTAGGTGTGTCCAAACATTTGACAGGTACTGTATATATAAAATATATCTATTTTAATACATTTTACTTCATTATTTTCCCCTAACCCTACCATCCCTCCCCTAATAGGTGTGTCCAAACTTTTGACTGGTAGTGTATATATATCTACAGGTGTCCTAAATTCAAAAATCAAATAGCAAAATTATCCTTGGTATGACCATCTTAAAACAATTCCATATGTTAGCTTAGTAGAAACCTAGCCTCGGGCCTTTAGACTCTAGGGAATGATGGACCCATGTTACATCTGACACAGCAGGGGTCTGTTCCATAATTCCATATGTGGGAGACAATGCGTGAGCTCCAGAATGGCTCAGAAATTAATCGCATTGATTGATATGCTATGACAGGTACATGTGATTTGGAGTGACAGATCACAGATCACAACCTTGATTCTCCCCACATTGGCCTTTTGTTATGAACCTGTATCTATGATGTTTAACTTGCTAATACATTTTCATTCTCATAACATCCAGAAATAGTCTTGTCTCCATCAGAGCCTGCAGAAAATGTCATTTCTCACTCCCAAACAATTAGCCATGTGTGGAACGTACTGCATGTCCACGTAGACTGTAATAGTAGTACCACTTCGAGAGCTTGGGACTATAAGGTTCTATCTGCAAAAGACGATTCTGAGAAAAGGTTCAGCAATTTCTATCTTATATTCTTTTGAACAACAACATGAATTGGGGTATTTAGAGTACTATATAGGTAGAGAACATTGAACAGAACAAGATTATGTCAATAGCAAAATGTAGACAAAAATGCAGATAGAACCTTATAGTCCCAAGCTCTCCACTTATCTAGAACAAGAGAGTACAGATGTGAAGGAACCTTAGTACATTACAAGTTTGCCAAGTTAAAGTTTATGTAAATTAATGGGATGCCGCTCTCATTACTGTGTTTTCAAGTGTATACAAGTACCCCCTCATTCGACCTTCATTCACTTATTATATCCCTTTCATACTAAGAAGTTTTTCTGCCAACTTCACCATACCGCCAACTTTTTTCTGGCTTTTCTTTATATGTGAAAGGTATTGCCAGTATCAAAGCCGAAGCTTCTATTTCCACCTAACGACCTAGTAATCATTTTGGTAATGCTGAGGCGGCATTGGCACACACTATGCTCTTAAACTCTTGATGGTTGCTAGGCAGCACCAGTTAACCATCCTCCTGCCAGTTGTAAACTTTGTGAGGCATGTCACTTCTCCCATCTCTTCACATAGCCAACCACTAAGCATGCACTGTTTTCTGAACCACAACTGGATGGTCCATAAAGAATTACTGTGGGAATAAATTTCACTGAATGAATAAAACAGGCTACTGCAATTGAAGGCATGTATCAAATTTGAGCTTACTGAAACTCCCAAAGTCATCTAATCGTTGAAATACATTTTAAGCAATAGACTACCCATCCATGGTGAACTAGATCGGGGTTTCCCAAACTCTGTCCTGGGGCCACCCCTGGATGCATGTTTTGGTTTTTGCCCTAGCGCTACACAACTGATTCAAATAACCAACTCAACATAAAGCTTTGATTATTTGAATCAGCTGTGTAGTGCTGGGCCAAAACCAAAACGT